AACGTCGTCTATTTCAGACAGTCGAACTCAGTGAACGAGAAAGCAGTCGAATCAGATAAGGTGGCTTGGCTTGTCCATGCCTTATGTTCGACATAAGATATCGTGATACAAAAGGATCATCAAACGGAATCATCACTGGCGTTCGTAGGATCACGAACAAACTCTATTCGAGATAGGTAGTCATAATGTCTTGCTAGAGACCGCCTATGACTTGTATATCCGAAATAAAGATTTCGGGTTATACTGCTATATCGAATGAGCCTACAGGATCATACCGCAGGGAAGGACAAAACGCACGAGAAAACGACAGAAAAACCAAGATAGAAGGGTCCGGAACGGACGGACCGCAATTCTGAAACGAACAGTCCGCCAGGTCCAGACCCGACGGTCCAGAACGGACTGTCCGTTCCAGAAGGTCTGGAACGTACGGTCCACTAATGGCAGACCGTCCGTTCTACGTGCTGGAACGGACGATCCACGTGCATTTCTGGACCGTCCGTTCCGGGCTTCAGACTTTTCCAAAATTAAACCGAATTTAGGGTTGAATCACTTTATAAGAAGGAGATTAAAAACCCTAACTCGTATGAGACTTTCTGCAGTCGACTTTTGCAGTTCTTGGAGAGTTTTTGGTGTTTGAAAAGTGATCGAAGTCCCGTTTTCTCGAAGCACAAAACTGAATAGCAGATTCGGGTCCTAGCAGACAAGTTCCAATCGTTGGAATCCATCCCGAGGTGTGGATACGTGTAGAGGGCGAGGTGTTCTTCCTCCCTTTCGTGATCGAACGAGTTCTTCAATTGATACAAGCCCCGAATCGATTGAGGTAAGTGTTCTTACTTTTCTACGATTCATAAGAAGCATGGTTCTAGGGTTTATTAAATTTTTATTTTACATCCGCTGCGCAAACCCTAGAATCAATCTCTTAGGAATAGGATTCGCTCTAGAGATCCCAGAAAACCCAACAGTGATTTGAACGATAGAGCATTACTGTTTTGGATTTTTTTGAAATTTGGGGATTTCGAAATAGAATGTTGGTTTGAGAGTTTATGGATAAAATCGAATGAAATAGTTGAGTTTCGGTCAAATAAGATGGTCATATAGATCACAACACGATATGAGTCGATGTTTGGATGTATAGATGACATGAAGATTCGGATGACCTGAGGATTCAAATGCTATGGTCTAACAGTCACAGTCACAAAGGTCACAGGGTCATAGGGTCATATAGGTACGTCTATATCACAAAATACAATAGTCACGGGTTACATGATCACAAGGTCACAAGGTCACACGGTCACAGTCACAAAGGTAACAGGGTCATATAGGTACGCCTATATCACAATATACAATGGTCACAGGTCACATAATCACATGGTCACAAGGTCACAAGGTCACAATGTCACATTGGCACATGGTCACATAGTCACATAGTCTCATAGTCACATAGTTTTATAGTCATACAGTTACATGGTTACAGTGTCACACGATGATATCTAGGTAATATTATTGACATATATTATTTTATTTTGTAGCACATGGAAGAGACGATGTATGAGCTCCACCTGCATTATAAAGCATCACGTGACCTAAATAGGATGCAACTATTTGGCGTGTGATACCATGTTCATAGAGCTGATCAACGCATGAGTAGAATCGGGAGACATGACAATAGAGATTTCAGAAGACGAAAGTGTGAATTTTTAATTTATTTCACTAAATTTACTTTGTTTATTTTGTTTTGAACTCTAACTATGACATGTTTTTCTTTATTTGGTAGTAGCCTAAATTATGAACTCTTGTATTTAGTTTTTTGTTTATTAGAAATCTGAACTTATTTGTGTTTTATGTAAAATATGAGTCTAAATTATTGTATGAAAAATTTTAAGCTTAAATTGATGGAAGGAGAAAATATAGTGTTAAAATAAAATTACATTTTTTTTCAATTGTGAAATGAGTTGAATTGTCAAAGTGATCCCCACAAGAAATCTAGGTTGAATTGTCAAAGTGGTCCACACAATGGACTAAGAGAAAAATTCTGGATTGAAAATGTTGTAGGTGAAAATTTGGGGTTAAAAATTGGGAGGAAAAAAATATTGGATTAAGAGAGAAATTATATAGAATTGAATATTCAAACTGGGTCCCACATTAAAAGCAAAAATATAAATAATGATTGTGGGCCCCACAAAACATAAAAAACTGATGAAATTCTGACTAGTTATTCGTGTGGACCCCACAACACATTTCAGTCACAATGGGTCACAGTCGGTCACAAACAGTCACAACCTTCGATCCATGCGATTTTTGTTAATTTAATCACTCTACAACGTTACATATCTCTCATAAACCTATTCTATATTATTTCGAAAATTAAAATATGGTTTTTACGATTTTTGTGTTTCAAAGTTATTCTTCCAAATGTGTTCCTATATGTTTCATAATGTTTTATGAGTACTTTTGATAAATTTGGTACATTTCATTTATAAACCCCTTAAAATATTTTGAAAGTTTTTCACACACACTATATATTTAATATATAGACTCTGATAAACTATCCTGAAGCTTAAAAAATAAAATTTGGCCTGTATTTATCAACATATTTCGGTCACGGGTCACAGTCGGTCACAATGGTCACACAGTGCAAAATTGCACTTCGGTCACATGGTCACATGTGGGTCACAATGGGTCACAACGTTGGCTCATGTGAGTTAATTTATTTAGTGTGTAACACGAGTCAGATATATGCGAAAATATATCTTCAATAATACAATATTATTATGGTACAAACACAATATTATATAAAAGTTATAACACTATATTGTACAAATACATTACAATATCATTAACCAAAGTTCTTTGACATTATTGTACAAATATTTTATAACTCATTATAATACAAATACACCACACAATTATTATACAAATTTGTAGCGCATCTTTCTTCACTCCAAATTAGTCGTTCTCTCTGGCATTGACGATGTTGATGTTCTCTCCAACATTGTCAATGTTGATGTTCCCGCTGCCTAATTAATTCTCTTCTGTGCTTCACCAGGACCAGGATATCGATTTTATTTAAGCCTCCCACATTTCCATTTCTCATCCACTATAGGAGGCATAACCACAAGATTTGCAATATTTGGATCATCGATAATCTATTCACGCCAATCGGGGACCGAATACACAATTTCTTGATAAGCAAGACGCCACGTCTCCCGCGTATAATATTCCGCACAATGACCTCATACGTACATACAGTCTCTACCGATTAGGCTGTGAAATGGTTTTAAAATTTTGGGGTTTTGAAATTTTGGATATTTTGAAATAGAATGTTGGGTTTTAAATCAAATAATCAATTGGGATGTGAAATGGTTAAAATCGAGGTAAATGGGTCAATTCGAATCACAAAGACATTCAAGATAGTCATATGAGTTACAGTATCATATGGTTCGATGTATAGATGCATGAATGTCATGATGATTTGGATCATATATATGGTCATAATCATATAAGCCACATGGTCACAGAATCATATAGGTGACATGATCATATATAGTCAATAAGTTGTACGTTTCATGCTTAAATTTATACCTCGCTCATTTCTCGGGATCAAATTCTTCTTTCTGCATATGCTCAGCAACTTTGGGATACCTACACAAAAGTCCATGTGACCATATGACTGTGAAATCGTGTGACCATGAGACCGTGTGATCATGTGATAATGTGACCGTGTGACTGTGTGACTGTGTGACCGTGTGACTGTGTGACCATGTAATAGGTGACCAATCTGACCATGTGACCCTTGTAATCCATGTGAACCATTATCCTAATGACTCGTAACCCATGTGACCCGTAATTCGTATCTATTGTGACTCATATGACTATTGTGACCCGTGAACAATGTACACATTATGACCTTTGTGATCATATACTCATTCTGGCCATTGTGACAAATGACATGTATGATTTGTGATTTAATGATACTCTAAAAACATCTAAAAATGACAGAATATAACAACAACAAAAAGTACAGAAAAAAAGCAAAAACCATAAATGTTTGTAAAAAAAGACCAGGATTTGATTCTTCTTATCTATTTACAAGTTTCTGTGTGATTTCACATAGATTTTATAGCATTTCTATGTGATTTCGTCGGATTTTAAAGAGGAAAAAATTAATTACAAAAGAGAGAGAAACTAATGAAGAGAGAGAAAGCTTCGTAAAGAGAGAAACCAAAGAGGAGAGAGAAAATTATAATTTCTAGGAGATATAATATTGTTTTTAATAGAAAACAAAAATAAAATAATTTTATAAGGGCATTTTGGTCAACATATATTTGAAAGGGTATTTTAAAAGTAGGATTTTTTTTAAAAAAGTGAAGGGTATATGTGGAAGTGATTGTAGCACATTGGTAAAACAGATAATGCCCCCTCCGAGATATATAATTGAATCAAACTTTGAGTGAATTTTCATATTATAAAAATAAAACAAGGTTTAAACGTTATATGAGTTAGTCATATAGTTTAGTATTTATTATTTTTGGTCCATTTATAAAAAAAAGTAGATGGGTTGGTTGGATCTAAAACATAATGATTAGTTCCAACCCTAACCTACTAAATGTTTAGACGTCTCAAAACGGAGTATTTGGTCTATCCAAAGATTAAAAAAAACAATTAAATTCCATAATTAGATAGGCATAATAAGAAACATAAACTCACGATTTTCACAGATGCAGTTAATAATACCACGTTTTGTTTTTCATAGAAAAACCATGGGCATGTTTTTGGTTTTTTCGTTTTTTTTTTATTTTTTATTTTTCCATTAATGTACAATTTAGTTCCTTTAAAATAGAATTTATAATAATAAAAGAATAAAAACACTTTTTTCATTTTATGAATTGGGCTAATACATGTGCCTTGTAGGCCCATAGTTGATTATGGGCTTAGCCCGTGATATTTTTCTCTCCCTCTCTCTCGTTTTAATGCATCCTTGTGGCAGGTTCTCTCTCTCTCGTGCCTGTGGTGTTGAACTCGGGGGATTTCAATACCCTAAACCCTAGCCGTAAATTCCCAGATCCATCGTCTCTCACTTCTCAGGTAATATTTGCCCTCAATTTATAACTAGTTCGTCTCTTGATCTTATCTGTTCCACTCAATTGATTCGTAATTGGTTGAATTTCGATCTCGAAAACCCTAAATTTCATATTATTTCAAGTTATTCTTGTTCTCGTTGGGTATATGCATGCATTTTCCTCTGAATTTAGGGTTCTGATGTGATTTTTTATTGTTGTGTAAGGTATGGGTGACACAAGAGACAACGAAGCCTACGAGGAGGAACTTTTGGACTATGAGGAAGAAGACGAGAAGGTCCCTGATTCTGCTGGAAACAAAACCAATGGCGAGAATGGCAAAAAGTTAGTGGTTTTTATCTTTAAATCCGTCTGAAGGGATTACGGTTTTCAGATTCGGTGTTGTTGCATTGTTCTCGCATGTAAACAACACAGATTCATCATTTGTATTCGTCGTAAATTGAAGTGTATTTGTGTAACTTTGTTAGTTCTTCTAATATTTTTCTTCTTCTGGGCAGAGGTTACGTGGGTATACACAGTTCAGGATTCAGAGACTTCCTTTTGAAACCCGAGCTTCTCCGAGCTATTGTTGACTCAGGGTTTGAACATCCTTCTGAAGGCAAGGAAATCTCTCTCTTAACTATGTTTTTTTTTTCTTTTTTGTGTTTTCTTTTAAGTTTCTCAGGCATGGGCTTTTTGAGGGTGGCTTGATAAGTCACTTATTTGGGAAATATATCTACATCTGAGTGGCCGGTGAAACGAAACATACTTCCCTGTGATCTATTTTTGAGATGAATTATGGTATTCTACTGCTGAGGAAAATGATATGTTGTGTTCTTGTCGTTTCAGTAAGATTCCAAGTTCTAACAAGATGTGAAACATAAAATTTATGTTGATTTTTGGGCCATAGTTTCTGATTTCTCTTATCACCCCATTTCTATTCTGTTTATCCATTGACTCTATTCTGATTTTCCTTTTTCCAGGTAATAATCTATTTCAAACTATTGGTTTGGAGCCAACATACAGTTTGGTATACCCATCCATTGAAAGGACGGAAGTTATAGTTTACTCATAAAGGGTTCCTTCTGTGCAATTTCTTGATTCTCGTTCAGTGCAACATGAATGCATCCCTCAAGCTATCCTGGGCATGGATGTTATTTGCCAAGCAAAATCCGGTATGGGGAAGACTGCTGTATTTGTGCTCTCTACTCTGCAGCAGATTGAACCATCCCCCGGTCAGGTTGCTGCACTTGTTCTGTGTCATACTAGGGAGCTGGCTTACCAGGTATGTCTTTTATCTCTAAACATGTATTCTCATGTTTTGTTGAGTGAGTTGCCTGTCCCCCAGTGTCTTACTTATGTTTTCTTTCTCTGCTGAAAATTATTTGCAGATCTGCCATGAGTTTGAGCGG